ATTAAAAAAGGTCATAAGTCATATCAATCTTCGTTATGACCAAATGACCTATGACTGGTCATAAAGGTCATATAGGTTATATAAGGTTATAGGCCAACACTGGTACGTACTGTACGTACTGTATGCGAAAAAAATTCGGGTATCATATAAACGGCACATCACTAGATATAGCTCTTTGTTTCAAGGAAGATATAGGCGTATCAAATCTTAAACAATTAGTGGACCCCACTCAAGATGAAGCTGTAGAGCAATGTAGTCAAAAAAATTTTGGAACTAATTGTACCAATGAATTACATATTAAGATGGCAAAAAGGATATTTACTTGGCTGAAAATGATCAATCTAGAAATTCAACAGGTTTTTCCAAAAGGATGGTGTGATTTATTGAGACCTTGATCTTCTTTTTAAATATTCTCTTTATTAATTTTCTTTCACCAAGGATAAAAACAGGTACAGTATTATTTCTTCCGCATCTAACAAGGTATTTATTAGTTTAACTAATTCTAATTAAATAAGCTATATAATTTGTAATTTAATCATAATTCTTATATTTGTTGTCGCTTAGAAAACCGCTACTTTCGGTGTCTTCATTGCCCCGTCGAACGATGTAATGAGTTCAATGAATGGATCGAAATGGATAAATTTAAACAAGATCTCCCGCACGTTCTACGACCGTTATTGCATGTGATTGTGATTGTTCGTCAGTAGTGAGACAGCCGCCACAAAAAACTATTGACATTAGATGGCATGGATATAGTTCACCAAGAAGCGAGCCTATATAATAAAAAAATGCAAGAAAGCTCAGGTCAAAAAGTTTCTGAGGAGAAACTAGAAGATAATTATTGTGATTGTGGTTGGCCGTTCCCTCTACTATTACCTCACGGTAATAAGTTTATATTATTTGTATTTATTAGTGATTGGAAGCTAGATAGAGTTAAGGAGCAGGATACTAGACGTGGTAGCATGAGTTTTTGTAGTGCAAAAAATCTAATGGACAATATCCTGATTATCGTCCAATGGGCTATCCATTTAATCGGCCTTTCCAAAAGGATTCCTCCGGAAGACCTTCCTTCGAGAATGTACTTATTAATTTAGTTATTTTTGTTTGGAACACTAATTGCATTTTTTTTTTTAACCATTTACGTTTACCTTTCAGACATTCGCCGCGCTTAACAATGCCGCTTCAAAAAGACATTACTACTAAATGGGTTAGTGGTGATGATGCTTTTGCAAATTTCATTGTAGATATTGATATTTTAAATATTCAACTGCTATAAAGTATTTTTTTTTTTTAAAAAAAAAAAAAAAAAAAATCATATTGTACTTGAAAACGGTTAAATCTGTACTTATTTATGCTTATTCATTATTCAATAAAGTATGTGATATAGTGTACAATATTTTTAGTAATGTTTTTTAATGTAATGTTTTTTAAATTATAATATAGCTCCAGATTAGGTATGGATAAGTCCGGTCCAGTCCGTCCGGTCATAATAAGACCGGTCCATTAGCGTTTTTTGGTCCGGTCTCGGTCCCAAAAACGGTCCCGAGCTCTAACTATCCTATTGGCTAGCGGAAAGATTTAAATCATATTACATCGGTAATTGAAATAAGCGATTATCTAAAATAATTTTTTAGTATTTTTAATTAGCTTTTTTTGAAGACCGGTCCGAACTGGTCTCAGGACCGGGGACCGGTTAATCATAAGACCGGTTAAAAAGACCGATTATTCGGTCTTTCCAGGACTGATCCATCCCTACTCCAGATCCATGGTACAGTATTAAAAAAAGAACTAAGATGTTAACATCAATATTAACGTTAAAAATCTACCCATCACTATGGATGCCAAATTAAGTTCATTACATATCGGTATGCTATGTAACTAGGGATGGGTACGGTTACGGTCATAACCGTTGTGACCGGTCATTGACCGTAACCGTTGCTGACCGGTCAGAGCGG